ATTGTTTCTAGCCTCGGGGCTGGCCGCCATTCAGTGGTTGAGGTCCACTGGGTCCAGAAGAGGGATAAACGGGCTTTTGCTCTGGTGAAAGGACACCTAGCCCTTGAAGGAGGCAACCCCACAATTGAGGCCCATACGCAAAGGAGAGATGACATATGGGGGGCGTGCATGAATGTGCATGTGCTGGCAAGGAGAATTCCACCCAGAAGGAAAGGGCCAAAAGTCTAGGGAAGCCATGCAGGTAGAGTGAATGCCAGGAGTTGAAGAGGAGCTGAGCCTAGTGGACCACGGCTGCGAGTCCAGGCTTAGTTCGGAAACTGGAGACCATGCAGGGGCAATAACATCCAATTTATGGCCTGAGTTTTCTCCACACCAGGCCAGCCTCTGCACCTGTTTATCTACGTTAATGAGCCAGAACAGAAACTAGCCAGCTTGTGGGTGGCCATAGAGGACCCAGGCCAGAGCTGCCTGCCATAACTCACGGCATCATAGGTTCCCCTTGGCTCAGCCCCCACTGCCTTGTCTCAGAGAATAAGAATTGCTGGGCTGGCCAGAGCAGGACGCTGAGTCGGTCAGCCAGGCTGGGGGAGGGCTGAAAAGCTGGTGTGAAGTGATGGATTCAGTGGGGCTTTGGGGAAGAGGGCTGTTCGCTGGGAGCAGCCTCTTGGGGTAGATATTTCCAGATTACGCACACAGTGTCGTTAGAAAGCATGGCTATAAATTAGGCTGCTCAGAGGCATGGGGCATGTAATAATTAAGTAATAAAAGTCACCACAGGGGTACAGGAGGCAGGAACAAAGAGTCACTGTCTGTCTATGCGAATCAAAGCCTTGGGCTGCTTCTCAAATAGAATCCAACTTAGCCAGGTTCCCAGGTACTCTTGTGCCCTCATGCCAAGGTACAATAGGCTGGAGAAGTGGGTGGATATTTAGGGTCCTGGCTACCTATCTGGTTGTCTCCACAGCCACAGAGTCTTACTCACTGAAGGAGTCTGTCAGGGATTACAGCTCACCAGTACCAGGGCAGCGGGGAAGACTGAGAACTGGGGCTAATGGCAGCTGGGACTTAGTGCCAGCCAATTACACCAACTGGGAATGAGGGCCTATGTGACCAGAATTTACACACTTTCACAATAATCTAAAAAGTTGTTTTGAAACATTGTCCAACAGCTAAAAAGATGCCTCAGAGGTTAAGAGCACTGCCTACTCTTCCTGAGGTCCTGAGTTCAATTCCCAGCAACCACATGTTGGCTCACAATCATCTAGAATAAGATCAGGTGCCCTCTTCTGGTGTGCAGGCATACATTCATGTAGAACACTGTATACTAAATAAATAAAATCTTAAAAAAAATATTGGCTATCCTATTTGCATGTAGGGAGGTGTGCATGTGTGTACATGCATCTGGAGGTCAGAGGTCAACTGTGGGTGTCATTCCTCAGAGGTCTACCTTGTTCTTTGAGACAGGGTCTCCCACTGGCCTAGTGCTTGTCAGTAGACTAGGCTGTCTGGCCAGGGAGCCCTAGGGACCTGGTGGTCTCCCCCACCCCACCCCACGATGCTAGGATCACCAGTGCGCACCACCACAGTGCTTGTCAGTAGACTAGGCTGTCTGGCCAGGGAGCCCTAGGGACCTGCTGGTCTCCCCCGCCCCACCCCACGATGCTAGGATCACCAGTGCACACCACCATATTGGGTTGTTTTTACAGAGATTCTGGGGATTGGAGTCAGGTCCCGATGCTTGCACAGCAAGCACTTCACAGTCTGAGCATCAAACCAGTTCCCAACTATCCGTATTTCTAAGTGTTGGAAATGATTTCAGACTTTTGGGGCTACCACACAGACCCGATCCAACAAATCCAGGGGCAGAGGTCTGCAGCCTCCGGACCTTGCTGGGCAGACACAGGGGCTTGCTTCTCCTGTGTCTCTACTACTTGTCTCAGGTTTAAACGGCTCCTGACACCTTCTCTGGCTGCTTTGGAAAACTACCAGTGCTATGACCATCCAGATGGGTGTCTGTATGCAGCTCAGAAGTGACTGACACAACATCCTGAGCCCTCCTGGCTGTGAGTCTCAAGAGTGAGAGAGCTCCTAAGTGATTGTCTATAGTGTTTCTGGCTTTGATTTCAATTCAGGCTCAGACCACAGTTCTGCAGCATTTCCCAGAGCATCCTGGGGCTTCCTTAACAAGTTGCCACAAAGAGGGGCAAAGGAGGTTAGGGAAGAAAATGGGAGGGGGTTAACAACATGGGCTCAGTTCTCACAGCTTTGGAGGCCAGAAGTCTGACCTTGAGGTGTCACCTCTCCCCTCATGCGTGGCCCCAGGAAACTCCAGCTTGCATTCTGTGTGGCGATTCCACTGGAGAGTGCTGGTCTGAAGGGCTGGTCACCTTTCTCCACACATGGGGCGGAAGATTCCACACACCTCCCAGGGCAAGGCTTCTGGAACAGCCTTTGCTGGCCACCACTAGCAAGGTTAAAATGATCATTTATTTGGTTTGCCATGCTGGGGCTCAAATCCAGGACCTCACACAAGCTAGGCAAGCACTCCATCACTGAAATATCCCTAGCCCAGATGAGCACTTTCATGCTGTGGCTGCCACAGTGGTAAAATAATAGTAATAAGGGCTGTCTATTCTGAACTGAGGCTGAAGTGACCATTCACCAGGCATTTCCTGTTAGCCTTCTAGCCATTTCAGCCACCACGAATGAGTATCATCCACTCCTCTGTTGATTATTCTAAGTAATTATTATTACATATTAGCATTTTTATGTATGGGTATGGGTATTTCACCTGCCTGTGTGACTATGTACCAAGTGAGTGCCTGGTGCCCTTGAAGGCAGAGAGGACATCCAATCTGGAACGGAAGTTGCAGATGTTGTGAGCTGCCATGTGGGTGCTAGGAACAGAACCTGGGTCCTCTGCAAGAGCACCCAGTGCTCTTAACTGCTAAGCCTTCTCTCCAGCCCCTATTATCACACATTTTTAGAGACAGGGTCTCAGTATCTAGCCCATGCAGTCCTCCTCACTGCACCCAACTTGAGTATTATTGTTAAATAAATTTTTAAAATTAACTCTTGGAGAGTAGGGACTTGAGATGGGGTTTCATATAACCCATGCTAGCCTTAAACTCACATAGCCAAAAGTGAGCTTGAACTTGTGATTCTCCTGCCTCCACCTCCTGAGTTCTGGGGTTATGGGAGTGTATAGCTTTTTTCTGCAGGTTTAATAGAGTAGGATGGCTTCCTGTCTGGTCACCGGGTTGGCTTCCCAGCAAGGCAGTATAGGCAACAGGCCTGCCTCTTGAGCAGGTACTGAACTTGAGTATCAGAGTTCTCCTTTGTACATGGCCACTGTCCATTTTGTAAGCAATGCAGTGTGGATAGAAAGGGATCCTGGCAGTTGGGAGCCAAGGAATACTAAGTGTTACAGCTCCAATGGAAAAATATTCTGGCAACTGGGAGCCAGAATACCACAGGTCACAGTGCTTAGCAGATTACAAGCCTGCTCCAGGAAAGGCTTCCCCAATATAGTAACTCTGCTCCAGCAGGGGAGGGTTTCCCTAGAGAAGTTGTTACAGTTTGGCTCTGGTCCCCTAGAGTGTAGTTAGCAACTCTGCTCACTAGGGTAAGGTTTTCCAGGCCAAAGTGTTACAGCCTTGCTGTACTCTGCCCAGGCTCAGCCTCTGCTCAGGTGAAAGGTCTTATCCAAATCTCATTCAAGAGATTTATCGGGAGGGAAGAATCCAGGAGAATGGCTGCCCTCTGCCAGGGTGGAAAAAGGCAGTAGCAAACTGAACAGGTGTTAGGCTTAAATTGGGCTTCTTAGGGGTGGAGTTTTTTCCAGGGAGATTTCCAGGGTAGGGATTGGTCAGATTTCAGTCCCCTGAGCTCAGATTGTCTAGATCTAGTGCTCAGAGATTGATTTGTTTTCCTGCTCAGGGATTGGTTTTCTGCTTAGTTGGTCAGGTACAGATTTGGCTCTGGTTTCAGGGCCAAAGTGTGTTTCTTTCACTGGTCCTTTTTAGCCTTTTGGTTCTAATTTTAGGGCCAGGACATATATCTTTTACTGGCTCTGATTCTAGGGCCAAAGTGTATTTCTGTGGTACTGGTTTCAGGGTTAGGGTGAGTTTCTTTGGCTGGCTCTTTTACCCTACACATTTGGACACTTTTTTTTTTTTAGTTTATTTACAATTTTATTTAGTAATAAGTGCTCAAGGGTTTAATCCAATTTTCAGAACACATCTCTTAAATAATCTTCATTCTGTGCCTTACTATAAAGAAGGGAGCAGGCAATGCACACCCAAAGTACAGTCACCGCAGCCAGTAACTATCACTTGTTTTCCACTGAAAATGGCAATTTCTTTCCCTGGCTCTCCTCATAGTGGCTGTGATAAACCACATAGGTGGTAAACTTCCAAATACTCTGGCCCAACACGGGGCTGTTGGAAGCTCTGCAAGGGGCACAGAGATGGAAGGCAAAAGAAATGGCCTCACTACAGTCTCCTTTTTTTATGACCTTGTTATACAGGGCACCTGCTTATTCTATCTTGCAAGCTGTTTAGAGCTCAGCCCCAATCTGGGATTGGTTCCCCACCCATCTTGGAAGGACTTAGATCTATGTTATCTTTGAAGTTTGTGGCTCAACCAACCTCACTTGGAGTGCTGTCCCACACTGCTCTGGGACCGGCCTCTCCTCTTCACAGCTGAGATGACAAAGGATGGTACCTGCAGACAGTACCTAAAGCGAGTACCTAACTGACAGCACCTGCAGAGCACTCAGGACTGGCTCAGTGATCCAAGATGCATGTGATGAAGACATCTAGTGCTGTTTCAGAAAGAGATGGCTCCTTGTGCAAAGTTGAGATCTGGGGAACCTATGAACCCTAACCCAGGGTGGGTGGGGCATAACAGAAAGGGACCCAAAGAACCTATGAACCCTATCCAACATCAGTCCAAGGACAGAATCTTTGTTCCATCCTGCTAATACTTGGAGGCTCCCCATGTTTGCAGAGCATGGGAACCAATTCTCTGTGGTTTCTGGGAGCTACCAGAAGACTTTGCTGGCCCTGGGGAAGGTGATGTGGCCTGCAGCTGGTGATGGTGGGGCCTGTGTCCTGTGGAGAGGGAGATGTCTGTTCTGTGTGTGGGTGTCCTGGTCTTCCCCAGGCCTCAAGCTCTACGTAACCTTCTCCCCACAGGCCGTCCACACCCTTCTTTGACCTTTTACAACATCGGTACCAGCAGCTGTGGGTACAGGAGCAGAAGGCCACTCAGCAAGCCATCAAACTGGAGAAGAAACAGAAGGTAGCCCTGCCCCCACTTCTGAGGGGCTGAAGCTTGGCGGGGGGAAGAGAAGAGTCAGCATCAGTGTATATGGTTGGGGCAGGATCCAGGGGTCCAGGCACATCCTGCTGCAATGAAATTCAGACCTGGACCAGTCTCAGCGATGGTCAGCTTCCACTCACACTTAATTCTGAATTGTGTAAAAGATGGCTAGACACCAGTCAGCAGGCCCTGTCACCTCTCAGCTGTGATCAGGACCCAGTCACATTGACTCTTTCATGGAGATTTTTCCCTGAACCCCTGTCTGACTTCCTACAGAGGAAACTAGGCTCTAATTCCACCAGCCTAGACAGACATGTTTCCCACACTGGCTAGTATGACAGGGTAGGAAACCACTTCTACAAGGGTGTGTTAAAGAACGTTTCCTTTCTTTTTCCTTTCTTTCTTTCTTTCTTTCTTTTTTTTTTTTTTTTGACAGGGTTTTTTTTTGTTGCTTTGGATCCTATCCTGGCACTTGCTCTGGAGC